ACAAAATCTGGTCTTTTGCTTTACCATTTGGTACTCGAAGAACGAACACTATAGAAGTTGTTGGTATAAGATCTTGCGTTAGTATAATCCGTACAACTCGCGAACGTCAATACCGTCAACCACTAAAATACTTATCCATGCCTGTACAAGTGATCTATCCTACACAGATAAGAATGAATATATAATATATGATTATTACTATTAGATATGCTTACTAATCATCTATGTAATTTATCATATTGATGATGCCAGTTTACTGGCGTCCTTGATGTATAAATGTGCGAATATATTATTATGATTATCTGCTGATTCCCTCAAAGTCCTTTACTCCTGCTACATTCAGGAACTAAACGACGTGATAAGTAAAATACATCTTGAACTAAGTAGTATCGCAACATGTTGTGCTGAATCCTTCCAGAAGATAAACATTGACAAATTTATCGGCGACAGTAATCTGAACCTAACTCTTGAAGTAAATGCGTGAAAACCAATCAAGCTCTACTTAGTCGAAGATCTCAGTATTTTATGCTCTAGTAATTCAATGTTCTCTAAACAGACTGCTTGTAACAGAAGTAAAACACTTAGGTTCCTAGACTACATTACCCGCAGTTCCTTTCACTGCAAAATAAAGGTTTTATTATGCAAATTATGTGTTGGACCTATTTGAGGTTACTGCTTCTTTTTTCTTGGCGGACTCCAACAGGCTGAAAATAGAACCACTATGAAAAAGATGGCTAAAGCTAAACCTTACCTTCTACTACAAGTTAACTTATCTTTTCCTGCACTCCTCCAGACCAGTAACTAAATCTACCTCTGTCATCAGTTGCAATCTTAAAAGTCATGTCAACCTAGTTGCTATGGTGCATTGTCAGACTTACATGCGGTACAACTTCTTATCAAATAAGTTTTCAGTCATTTGGAACAGACTACCAGCCAGTGTGCACGACACAAATGCACTCCCAGTATTCATCTCCTAAACCACTAGGCTCCTCAAAGATGACAGTGCTCTCCTCCATCTGGATCCTACACCTTCTTTTTCACCTCACATAGATCTACTTGTTTCATTAAACGGATGAGTAGCAATAAAATTCATTAATAGGTATTAATATTTTTTGAGGAACGCGATAAACATTTCTAGATAGGGCTTAAACATTAGTTCATACATGTAATATAAAAATTAGTATCACAGAACAAGTTAGTTGGTGTATCAATAGAGATCATGGTTTCTGTATTATTCGCAAATTCCTCCTTAAGGACTCCTTATGCTTCTTTCTGTACTACCGCTATTTATTTTCTTTTTTCCTTCACCATTTTAGCTTCCGTATGACTTTGTGAATGATAAAGAATGCAGATGTTTGGCGACTTAAAGTAACGATCTAAAGAGATCTGCAAAATTACTGGCCCAAAATCCTACAATCGCCTGGCAGAATACCCATTACTTCCTTCTGCCACGCATCCTCGGTGACGGTTGTCCGATATTACCTTTATACCAATAAATAAATCCCAGTCACTTCATGTACAGCGCCAATGAATTTGATAATTTAAGAATAATCAACATATGCTGATGGTCGCGTTTGAAATCTCACTCACTCATGTGATAATAATTTTCAGCTCCTACGTACTATACTTGTGATTTGCTATGGATTTGTTTGCCGTTATTCTGGTTTCTATTCGCATATGGACTGAAAGTTACACGTTGCAATAGCAATACTTCTTTGTAATTTGAACTGGACACTTACAGCTGCGGTGAGCCACCGGCAGTGAATATTACTAAAAACATTATCGGTTAACTGACTAACGTTTTACAAGCGAATTTCATCACTTTACGAATAGCCTACCATACTTATTCTAACAAGCGGAGCAGCAGGCACAAAGATAATGAAAGCAAAACACGAGCTGTGCAGAGAACGTTTATTCCACAAGAATCGATTTTAAAAAGTGAGGCACCTTAGTCTTACAATCTAACAGTCTCTATTGTCCTCGCTAAAGTTTAGACCTTTCAGTTGTTATATCTCTTGGTCCAGATAGTTGATAATCGAGGGCAAAGTTCAACAATAGCGTTCCAAGGGATGCAAACACACGAGTGACACTCAGTCGACCAATCATAAAAATAAGTGACTTTTGCACAAGAAATGACGTATATTTGCAAGAAAATGCTTTAAAACATATTAAACAGGTTTTCTTTCTCTGACATGACTTAAAAACACGTCTCAATTATAATGAGGAATATCAGTTGCTAAGTTAGACTAGTTTCTGTACATGTATTCACCGAAGTGACTAAAGATGATCCATTTCTGTGAATTGTTTATTTCTCTTATCCAGTTGTACAGTCTTCTCCAAAAGCCCTCGATTGAATCACTATGGTTTCCAGCAAGAGGATCGACGACTACTTACCAGGAAAATGTGGATAAGAAAACAAATTAAAATAAATGATATCAAATCTAAATCTATCCCTAGTTTTAACTCTAACCTTAATCCTCACGCTAACCCTAAACTTAACACTAAACCTAATTACACCCCTTATCCTAACTGTAAGCCTCGCCTCAATGCTAATTATGACCCTGATCCTGACCCTAACTCTAATACTTACCTTAACCCCAATCCTGACCCTAACGAGCTATTAACACATTGTCCAAACAGTACTTAAAGACATGATCTGGGTGGAATTTGCTCCTTAGTTGGTGACTAGCGTTGGTATTCCAGCTTTGATAATGACAGGTGCCGTTAACCAACGACTAGCATTCATTCAGGGTCATTAAAGCGTTCGCACTGTTGGGACGCTACTGTTGAACTTGGCTTCAAAAGATCATGAATAATACTTAACTAGTGCATACAAAAGGGCATTCATCATTCAATAGATAAACAGAGCCTTACAAAACCCAGTGGAATAAATAACGAAATCTTGTGTTGAATTTGGCGAATTCTCAGCCATTTTTGTGACAAAATCGTCACTGTCGCCGTGAATTCGCCGAGGCGGCGAATATAGGGTGACCAATATTTTCCTCAGTGTTAGATATGAAAAGTAGTGCAAACTGTAGATTTATCATATTATGTAGGCGATAGAGGAGGAATTCACAAGTGACTTTAGTTGCTACCAAGGGATGTTTAACACGTTTCTTGATTGCTTAAGCGTGAATGTACACTAGCTAACAGACATTTTCGTGTTGGCACCATAGAGATTATGATACCAGGACAAATACAGTAGGGTTTGTTGTGATTTTGACCTCCCGTTCTGTGTGCTGGGGGTCGATCTGATATGTGCTTAAAGCTAATCTAGAACCCTTGAATGCTTCGCTAACAGTTATCATTACAGCTAAAATAGCGTTCACTACTCTGTCAGTGGTTTCCGCCAGCCCCATTAAGTGGCAATTATGAAATAGTGTTATGATTTCTTACACAGCCCGTGCTAATATTTACGATAACAGTTGCTTAAAAATGCATCACTAATATGAAATTCAACACCAGCTGATAGATTTCCAGCATGAATTAACGGTCAACCATGCGCAAATTTCAGCAAGTCTTACATACGCTCTGTTGGTTTGGAAGTCGAGCATGTGTAACAATAACAACTTTAGGATGACCATTAGTGCTCAGTGTTAGGTGGTTAGGCACAGCTGCCCAAATAATTTTTGTCGGTTAACTTCCACCGAGTTCAACCCCATCTCTTATAAGCAATTTCACCATAATAGGAAAATCACTTCTTTATGTGTAAATCATGAAGATAGTATATATCCCTGATAGGTATGTGGCGGTAATAGTAAGGACACTAACGTCAGAGTCATCAGTCACAACCACTGATTGGTCAGTGCGGGATGAGTGCGTTGTGGTGGTAAAGAGAGAGGTCAGTTAGTTACACTATTTGAACTTGTTCAAGTAAGTTTTCTTGACGACTCTGAATAGAAACAACATTCGCGATTGTCATGCAGTCACCTAATTCGGTAGACCAACCCTTTCGCCACACTATATACTGCCCTTAAAGCCGATACAACTAGTAGAAATGATACTTATGGCTTTTCTGGGTTGTATTCATCAACGATGGTGTAAAGAGAATATACGGGTTCACAATCACACCACAACGCAGTAACCTCATGATTTTACCCTGAAAATCCAATGGTCCGCAATGTATTTCAGCTAGCACAGATAAAAAAACTCATCTTCAAAGGCTAGCTGGGCATGTTCAGTTAAATTGACGAATTTCCTTGATCGCTTGCAGAAGGATGGACATACAAAGAAAGTAGAGGGAACCGGAAGGTATAATGACTAAAATCTTTGTAAGATCACTGGTAAGAACTTGCGTCTAGTCACAAGTATGTACCAGGTCAAGTTCGCTGAATGTAGGCGGGACTTCATGAATTCAGTCATGTTGTTTATGTGTTGGGTCATACAAATATATTGGAACATTTTAGCTACGTGCCACCCATTTTCCCTATTATTTTTAGGCGCTGCATGCAGGAAAAAGCCCACAGCCTAGCTAGGCACTCTCAGGATGTATGTGTGAATCAGGAGAAACGAAAGCATGAAATCATATCTAGACCTGTTCGCACATACCTGTCAAAATAAAACCTAAGGCTGCTTAAGCATCGGGCGGTGAGCTAGAAGTTCGCCCATTTAAAATTCAGTTAATCAAATTTAAGCTAATTATTTTAGCCTCAGTTTTGCCAGAGAAATGCAATACAAGTGATATAATACAGTCAAAAACGATTCTCAAAAAAATGAAACTCTGAGGTGAAGGAAAACATCAAAATGCTACTGTTTACCAGTACGCACAATGTAAAACCAGAAGGCGTACAGGAATTTGCAAGAACGTGTATTAACAGGTGCTATGACAATTGAGTGCATATAATCAACCAAACAAAACCAATATTCACTAACATAGTATGAATGAGTTACATTAATCAATAGCAGCTGGTGTCACTCCAGTGGAAAATTTTCAGAAGCACCAAATGTTTAGTAAGCGAAATGGTTTTTTCACCTGAATAGACCAGCTGCTTAGCACTCAGTTACACCTTCTCTGGGCCTTCCGGAGCTGTACTTTGACATTTTGCAATCCCTGTCTTCCATATTTCTTTAACAGGTATAAGATCCGTATCCTGATACTTTATGTACTCTTCGTCATCAGCATGAAGGTCATATGATCTGAAAGGACCGCTGGACCATTGTTTTTGATTGAGACTACTGTCTGAATTTTTTACTTTTTCCGACGATAAATGTACTATAGTATTCCGGAAATATTTCAACACTAGATCAGGATTTTCTGAAACCTTGTGGCTGTAAAGCAAAAATATATTGATAGTAAAATTAAAAGTTCTACAAAGAGATTCTTTCACTCCTATTCATTTGTAGAAAATCTAAGCAAATGTTTTTGTGTTTAGAATATAGTTTTCATCTTAATATAATACCTTTATGAAAGGGCGGTAAGCCTGTTTATTTCGAATATTAAAGCACAGAGGTTTAATTATCTAATTTGTTGTGGAAGCAAACGCAAAAGTTCGAATTCGTATCAAGGGAATAGAAATATGTTACCACTGGGCAACAAAAGTTTCTGTTCAAGAACACAGACTGTCTTCTTATTGTAGTACTCACTAGTTGTACAAGAATTCTGAAATTTCTAAGTATTTTACAAATCAGATAGGAAAGGACACATATGTATACAACTGTGCTCATTAGATCACAACATATTTGAAAAAAAATAATATACAGATGCATTATATCGAAAACTGTATGCATTTATATACAACCGTTCCTTGTATTGCTGGTGCTTTAGAAGATGAAGGATATTGATGGTTACGTGAGAAACTGGGTATACAAACACAAGTGTCTATCCCAGGACTACCAAAGTACTTGTTCTACTGAGACTACAGATAAATCAAAACAACAAATTGGTCATTCAAAATACGAGATACATTTCGCTATCAGAAACGTTGAGAGATGATGACTGCCTTACTAGCTAGGATTCTTGCATGAAAGACTGAAAGCTACACGATAGAGCGTCAAATCGTTAAATGCTTGAGAGTGTACCTACAGCGTAACAAATTGACTTAAACAGTGAAGTTCAGCATCCAGTATTAAGTGAAGAATGCAATAGACTAATAATTTTGGAGAATTATTTACCCCTACAACTTTGATCTAAAAGCTTTGTGATTTGTATCTATTGGCCCGTAGAGTTTTAACTCCCCAAATATATCTATAGGCGCCACAATCCAAAACAGACAAAATGTTTATCACTGACCTAGTGATTTAACAGTAAGTATTTACTTGAAATTTATCGTTTATACATTCTGTAACGCAGTTTTTATGTTTTACTGCTTTTTAAAAGTTAAATGGGGGATAAATAAGATTGTAAAGTGACTTTTACTACAAAGAGAAATCATTATACGAATTATAATTACTAGAGTTAAAAAAATATGGATAATTTCGAATTTGAAATCGTTTCCGCATTACTATAAAATGAAATTGCTTTGAATATTAGTATTAACGGTGGGGGGAAATTTTGGGGGATGTCTCCAAGCTCTTGAAATAAAGTGGGGAAATCCTGGAAATTTTAGGGAAATACATGGCTTTACTCTGAGTTTCTTAAAAATATCCTCAGTCTGTATATCAGAACATATGTTGCGAACAAATTATACCTAAACCTCTACTTCAGTGATGAAGACATTCATTGTGCCTGAAAGATGATTGATCATGTTGAGTATATTTGGGCGAATGAGACACAGTATTAGTAATAATTGACTCAATCAGGCACAAACTAATAAAACAATATATGCTGAACACTAGGTCCAACAAAACTTACCAATTAAATAATTCTTCATTAAATTACTGAATATTACATTAAAGAAACCAGTCTTGCATGTATATATGCACTGCAGAAAGAACGACCTTGTCAGAATGAACAGAATTTTCCCATATTGAAAGACATAACAGCAAAGAAAATTTTCTTTTAGGGGAACTATTTTCAAGAGCTATACAACCACATTTATATCTAACAAGGAATTCATAAAACCAGTCAGATAATAGTGATTATGTTCCAAGAAATGTGATACTTAATTTGAGGGTAACCTAAAAGGGAACATGATTAAGTAAACTAATAAATACACATTAAGATTGATAAAAGTGGTATCTTATCTTTAACTCATGACTGGATTAACTGTCTGCTGGAGATTGTGGTTCGGCACCTGAAACTGGACTCCCATGTACATACACACACTGGTCTTACCATGTCCAGACTAACATTCTTGCTATAATTTCGTTTAATTTTATTGTTTTAGTTTATTATTATAATAATGATTTTATAACTGTTATCATTGTTATTGTTTATTAATAACGCTGCATTTCTTATATAGATTTTATATAAACATTTCACCGTATTTCTCCTATCTTTCGTACATTTGTCGATTTTGGTTGATTAGATAATTTTCCACACTTATTACATAGTTCCAATTTACGTGTTTTAATCTCCATTAGTCACTCCCCTCTAAATTGCCTCCGGGTTACGTAATACATTTTCTAGAATACTATAACCAGTATCTGATTGATTTTACGGACTGTTTGTGTAATTATTACTATTGTTTGGAATAAAGTGATTACTATTATTATTATTATCATTAAATATAAATACGTTTGTGCAGCTCCTGAACATGATTCGCCGAAAAGAAAAATTTCTTCTCTGTTACGTCTTCTTTTGATCTTGTAAGAGATGAAAGGCAAACTTAATTTTTCAACCACAGGCTTAAATAATGAACCTATTTAGAGTGTGGAGACACTAGTGTATAAACGTTGATAATATAATGCAGTAAACATGCATGCACTTAGTGGAAAATATTTAATGGTTATGAGTTAATTTCCTCTATGGCTAAACTCTATATCCATATCTCATAAAATCCACAAAATGACTCAACCTTGCATCCTTTCTAATTTACAGATCGACTCTATTCTAATGAAATTAGCCGTAGGGGATTTAGAGGAAATTAATATCATCCTTTAGTCCACTTATTTCTGTTCTGACTACTGCTTAGCAATTAGTGAGATATGCGGTCACTCTTCAACCATGTATATAGAATATGACCGTCAAATTTAGAGTATATAGTTATGATCAGAGGTATCTGTGTAGTATTTTTTCTGCTAATAAGAATGAAAAAGAAAGCAATACTGATGTTAGGTGTTGAATGTTATGTAAAATGGGCAAATTAGTAGATAAAGCTATGAAATTACTATGACAGATCTGGTTGAACTAGCCAGGTAGAGGTAATGCTGAAAGTAAAATAGGAGGAAGTTAGGGAAATATCGAACACAGCTAAACTAAGATATTAAAGCTTCCTGTAGTAAAATTTACAATGACACATGTAAGCGGTAAAGATTATTTTTAATCATATCTTATCAAGGTTTATTCTTATATAAACAACTTTGCAATTAAATTATAAATATAAATCAATCATCGTGATTTGTTTATAGGGTGATAAGATTGTGTATATAAGCTAATAATAATAATAGTGACTCCATTACGTGACTAACTTGGTTCTCCATGGACTTAAGTACAAGGCCCAGTGACAATGATCAGTCCCATTTCATTAGTAAAGTTTTCAAAAATATTGTCATTAATAAGAAATTATATATGTTAGTCTCTTTAATTCCTTTGTATCCAAAGCTTACATTCACAAAATGGATCCACTTTTAAGCATACATATTTTTGTAACACAAGTCTAATTTAAAAACACATACATCAGCGTAGGTACAGCTTTTCTTTACTTCCTATCAAAGCTGTACAGTCACTGAAGGTTTTATATGTAATGTGTTAACTGCCTAAAAAGGTAGAGGTTATTGTCAGTTAGGAGGAATAGCAATGTGTGAAATATAGTGGATAACCTTGTGTAGTGGAGGAGGTGAACAACTAACGAGTTGGTGAGTGATGAATAGTCATTTGTAGATAACTAATAAGAAATAGAAACATAAAGTATTGGAAGTGGGTCACATTGTTACTTTTGGTAATTAAACATCAGATGACACGTGATTCAGAGTTATATATAAAATAAGATCAAGTAGGTCAAAGGGAGGTTATTTACATCTTTAGGTGGCCTTAAATATTTTCATCCATAGGGGAAAACTTGAACTTTGCATACAGCCTCTATTACTTTCATTACCTTATTGCCAATTTTCGTTTCTTAATTAGTCGCATAATAAATTTTATGTGATTCTTTTAGGTGTGACTCAGTTTCCATTTCTTCTGCTCTTGTTTCCTATCACTTATCTCTAAATGGCTATTCAGGGCTAAACAAATTAGCTGTAAACTTTCTCGATAATATATATATATATATATATACAGCTATGATAAGAAGTTAAGGAAGAATATCTCTTTGCTGATTTATTTGTCGCAATTTAAAAGTAATCTTGGTAAAACTAAATCAGCGTTAGCTGATTCTTCGGTTGACCACTACTACAAGAGTGTGAACTTTTATTCAGCTGGGACGGGGTTTCTTTTAAACTTGTGACTTGTTTGTTCAGCTTATTTTAGCTTCTACATACATTGTAAGCGTTACTGATAATGGTGACTAAGTCTCAATACACTATTTATTACTGAATGACATTTTATATCCGAGAGTCAGTAGTTCAATGGTAGAACGCTCACAAGTCACACGGGAGGTTCAGAATCAATTACCACCTGATGCATTCTCAAACCTTGCCTAGTTTATCAGGCTGTAGTAAGCCCGGAAAAGGGATAAGGTTGTATGTCAGGCTAGCAACCCCACCATTATTGCTGAAACTTCTAAACTTGAAGCTCAGTGTTCTATTTGAGATGTAAGGAATGCATAGAAGAGTTTAAGTGGCTGATAGCGTCTTATATGTTGGAACTTAGAACAGTAAAATTATAGTATACTATTACTAATGTAAATAAAAGGCAACCACAGTAAATCATCATTACTTAACTTACCCATTAGAAATAACTCTCGTTGCATTATATACCACATTACCAAGATGTTGTTGTTTTGTTGGTGGAATATACCTGAAGTATATTTTAACAGCTTTAATTATTTGAATTGAGTGATTTTTCGACATATGACAAATTGATTCTTTATATAAATCATCCTCTATTATTTCCCAGCATGAAAACTTTTGTGCTTTAGTATTATTCATATAATGAATAGTCTGTTTAAACAGAAAATACTTTATACCTGTGTAGGTATAAAATCCTAGTGTGACCGATTCATTGGCATGAATATAATGTAAGCGCATAATTTGTTCTAGACTTACTAAGTGTAACCACTTTGCCTCTGAATGATTTAATGATTTCTCTTGAAGAAATATTTCCACATTATGAAAATACTGTGGAGTAGTTAGATTCAAAAATGAAATACGCTTGTCTTCATCAACTTGATACCATTGTATATAAGTAGGATAAGGCTGAATAAATATGAAGGTGAATATTGTAGCCATTAAAATAAGCAGACAAAAGAAACCGGAAGTCATCACAACTCGAAAAAATAACCACCAATGTTTTTGTTTAAACATAGACTTCTCCTCCATGTCGAATAACATTTCGTTAGTCTCTTTGATATTAGATTTCTGGCTGCCTAGTAAACATTCACTTTCATTTGGTATATTACTGTCTGAATCGGTAAATGCATTGTTGAACTTCTCATAAACACAGGAAATAAAGCATACAGATAGACGAATGCATATAAGTGTGAAAATTAATCCTCCTTTCATTATGAAACCCATTGAAATTGTAGATTCTTGACAAGCACATGTGTAAGTATTGAGAATACCAAGTGGAATTTCAGCCAAAAAGATATTTATGGTGGTGATGCAATCAACAGTGATCCATAATATATATCTTCTTCTTCTTAGAATATTAATCCATAGAAATACTTCTGTTATACTTAATACAAATTCGATAATACTGAATAGGATATAACTGATAAATAGAAATTTTGATATTTTGTCGAATACTAGACCAGGAAGTTGTTGGTATAAATCATTCACAATTATCCAACTTGAGCTTAAATTACTCAATAGTGTGACCAGTAAACATGTGACATGAAGTATTAGTAGACATGGTTGTTTGAGGAATTTTACCAAACCAGACTGATGACACTCATTTCTCGTAGTATTATTACCTATAGGTGTAATTTGAATTCTCCTGATCATTTTTTAAACGACGATAGGATAATGTGAGTTACTTGTAAACAATCAGTCGAAAAAATGTGGAATTATGTAAATTGGTTATATACTTTTTGAACAGTAATCATAACAATTTATTGGTCAAAATTGAAATTTCATACAAAAACTATTGATTGGATAACAAACTAGGAGATGAACTGTGATCAAGATTTGACCGAAAAGAATGACTAAATAGCTGAGCAGTGTTCAGAAGTATTGAATAAGATTATGTTAGCTGACTCATCAATTTGACGTAATTTGTCAACTTGATAAATTTTAATCAACCAATGACAACAACTTATGTGAGGTAAAATGAATTCATTTGATTTCTTAGGGTTTAGGGGATTACCATGATTCACTATTAGATTCACAATATGAAAGTATCTTCATTTTGATCTTAAGTTCTTATACAGTTTTAACAAATTTTTTCATACCCTTATTAAATTGACCATTCAGTTGAAGTATATGAGAATTATATCTCAGTGATTAATTGTGTATTTTATTATTCAGGACGAATTTAATCAACTACAACTTTTAAGAAAACTGTGACTCGCCATACGTTACAACCTTTCTAATCACATCAACGAATCATGATTCACTATCTTATGCAATAAGCAACCTCCTTCATCTGAGACACCACTACTTATTATGTATTGCCACTTCTTGCTACGACGGTTAGTGATTTGTAATTTCCCATGTCTTCTGCTTTAGATAAATGTACCTCATCTCTGTAAAGTAATGTAGAACAGATTGATGCTTCCCGCCTAATTCGTGACTAGATATCTTAAGGGCACAGCAGATGTTTGTTGGCTTTTTGTGACAGTATATTACAGGTTTATTTAGACTGGAATATAATGTGTAATATTTGAAGAGTACACAGATGACGTTATATCTGTGTAAGGTAGTTAAAATTTCACTCGGGATACACAATTTGCGCATTTCAAATCATACTGAGAAATTCACACTACGATTATTTGTGGACTCCATTCATTTTAAAAAGCTAGGAATGATGTTACAGTGGTAATGTTTATGTAGTGCAAAGAATTTGAAGAAATTTGTAGAATATTTTATTAGCAGTTGAAAGAGTTGGTAAGGACTAGAAGGGTGCAAAGATAGGATTTGTTTGCTATAGGTAGAATACAAGAGGTCGGTTCTTCTTCACCTCTGATAACTTAGAAATTGAGTTCTTCGTCGTTACAATATTCTAATTGGACAAACAAGCCAGCATAGGAACTATCAGTGGAATGGAAAATTCCCACTATTTATAAGTTGGTAGAAGGAAAAAGACGCTTGTAAGAGCACATTTCTTGATATATTGACGCCAACTGATGACATCCCTTTGGCTAAAAACAAAACAAACTAGATAGGTTTCTGAACCGGTTTTCAGTTTATCTCAGTGAACTAAAGTAAAAAGTTATGTGAATTAGTGGGATTACAGCTTGATTTAAAAAAAAATAAAAATTCGATAAAACATGAAAAAAAGGTCGACCAATGAGAAAAAGATAAAATTATTTAAACAGATAATTGTTTCTATTTTCACTAGGAGTAATGATTATGTTCATTTAGAGCTTAATAACTGGGATATCTAGAAAATCTGACGTAGCATTTTTCAAGAAATAATCTATAGGATAATAACTCCAGTGAAAAATGACCTTATTGTTTGAATTACAGTGATAACTACTTAGTGCCGTTAGCGCTTGCAAAATAAGTTAGCAGTGAATAAGAGTTGCCGAAGTACAGTCATTTCACGAACGAAAGCCTGCCCAAGTTGAGTTTATTACTGTCAAGACAGAATACAAAGTAGTACTGCAAAGGATTAATTTGTTATTATTATTGTATCCTTTAATTCCTACAGGAACATAGGGCTTCAGCCGTGCGTCTCCATTGCGTTCTGTTCTCTGCTAGAGTCTTCACCTGGCTCCAAGTCTGCCCACACGTTTTCATCTCCTCTTCACATGACCTCCTCCAAGTCACCCTTGCACTGACGACCAACTCGCCGCTTCCCTTTCGGGTTCCACTCGCAATGGCTTGTCTAGTGATGTCACTTGGTGGTTTCCTAAGAGTATGACCAATCCATCTCCATTTCTTCCCGCCTATTTGTTTCACAATGGGTTCCTGGTTGGTTCGTTCCCAAAGATCCCTGTTGCTGATCTTTTCTGGCCAACCATCTGATCTTGAGTATTGAGCGAAGACAACTGTTAATGAAGGTCTGTAGTTTGTTTGAGGTGCTTTTTATGATTAATTTGTAAAACACAAAAATTATGAAAGGGAAATAGTGCAACGTGAATTAAAATTATGAATATATTTGATTGGGTTAACACTTTTAACAATAAGAAAGATTTTATTTGTAAACTTATATATATTAGAGTTAAGCCTGATGAGATCTAATTGAAAACAATATTGTTCGCTTAAATGTGTTGTTCTAAATAGGAAAGATGTTTCATTTCAGGTCGTTTTTACCCTTAAGTTATATGAATGTAAACGTATTCATACAGTTTTCAGAATACTTAACACTTAATAATAGGGGATCATTAAACCTATGCCTCTGTATGTCGTCTTACAGTGGCCATGTATAGTACTGTCGGATCTAAGCCAGTTCATCTGACGTGATGATGTCTGCAAACGATTCCCTATGAAGTCAATACTATTAGAAATGTACTGGCGTCAGCGATTCTCATTGACCTGAACATCTAATGGAGTGACCTGCTGCTTCAGAATAAATAGCCAGTTTGGCGACGATACATTCAAAATTTGAAGATTTCTGAAAGTCTTAAGTGAAACTTTGAGTACTTGCGGTATACTACAGAAATGATGAGAATTAATCTTTATTCTAAAAATAGGACTGAAGTAGTTCAGTGACATCGTTTCACTCATCCAGAAAATTCAGTTAACTGATTCACACTCATGGCAAAATCATCACATACACCATTGGGATATCCAGACAATAATTAAAACGCGTGTGTGGGAAATCAATCCATAGTGGCTTACTTTGCAGCAATGAGGCAAACTGGTCGACGGCAGACAACACATGAGAAACTGCAGATTTCTAACTACGCACAACAGAATAAGTAAACTTGAGACTAGATGTAGCGTATCAGATTAAGAAATTTGTTTATTGAATGATGTCGGTCGGTCGGTCTTCGACATAGAACTTTGCACATATGTGCGGCAGTTCAAGTCACCACACTCCATGTAGCATACAAAGCAAGAGAAGAAAGTAGAAGAAATGCATAATAATATAGACAGTAAACAGAGGTGTGAGACAAAGGAATAGTAATAACGGAGAGCAAAACAGTTTAATTGGAAATCATAAGTCGCAAGGAGTGGATGCATCTGCGCCACTGAGAACGATTTTGAGCCATGTCACCAATTGTTTCCAACCATTGGCTTTTACCATCCCGAGGACCCCAACCAGGAAGTCTACATCTTCCTACATGGCTTAGACTAACTGTTGTGGATTTCATTGACTGGTGCCATGTTTTCGTTTGACCGCCGCTAGCTCTTTTCCAGCCTGGCCCTATATCAGCTAACATTACCCGTCGAGAAAGGCGATGACCAGGCATACGTAATACATGTCCCAACCATCTCAGTCGATGTAATTTCACAGTCTCGTCAACTGATTTCCCCGCCTTACCTAGCACTCGACGCCTAACCTCAATATTGCTCACCTTATTATACCACTTCACGCGGGAGATAGAATGCAGACACCTATGATCGAACACAGATAATCTTTTCATGTCTTCTGCTCTCAATGGCCAGGTCTCACAGCCATAAAGGAGGACGGAGCGGACTGTTGAGCAGTACACACGCCCTTTGGTCGATAGTCGGATGTCACGTCTACGCCAGAGACGGCGTAAACTGGCATATGCGAACCTAGCCCTCTGTATTCGTGCTGAGATTTCGTCGGAGATCAACCCGTTGGGGCTGATGGTACTTCCCAAGTAAGTGAAGCGGTCAACGTGCTCTACCACTTCACTTCCTATTTCTAATCTAGGGGTCGGTGAAGTCTAATCTTGCAGCATCATCTTACATTTTACAGGGGCGAATCGCATGCCAAACATACGAAGATGGTTGCTCAAGGTGTTCAGTAGACTCTGCATTTTGTCAGCGTCCTCGGCTAGAAGGACTATATCGTCCGCATATTCTAAGTCGACGAGATTATTCCTTGGCAGCAAGTCAATCCCTGAGTCGCTGAAGTGTGTTAGGGTTAAGTCCATTAGTGCGTCTATGATGAAGTTGAATAGGAATGGGGATAATGGGCATCCTTGACGGACGCCACTAGTCGTCACCAATTCAGATGACAACTCGCCATAAGCCCTCACCTGGCTGCATGAGTACGAGTAGAGTGCCTTAATCAGTGCAATGTATTTTCTCGGCATTCCCTTCGCAGCCAAACATCGCCAGAGAACCTCTCGGTCGACAGAACCGAATGCCACCTTTAGGTCAAGAAATATAGTGATTGTCGGCCGCCGATAGGAATGCTTATGTTCTAGAATCTGTCGAAGGGTGAAGATATGATCAATACACCCTCTTCCTGGCCTAAAACGTGCCTGGTTTTCTCGTGTACTGATGTACTGAATCGTGGTTCATTGATGCAATTTAGTTGGGTGTAGCATATAGCGAGCAATGTTGGTTGAAGTATGATAGGGTTGTTGAGAGGTAATAGTGATCTGGCAGAAATATGGAACTAATGGCTGAGATGTGTCACTGCTGGTCTGAATCAATTAATCATCAAATGATTTTGGTTTCAGTTCAGGATCGTTCACAACGACATCAAGTTAGCTATTAAATAAAGTATAATTATATTTCAATAGTTTACACACAATGATAAGTTTTGTTATTGGTAATATTTCGAGCAAAATTACGAATAACAAAACTTATCATTATGTGTAAACTATTGAAATATAATTATACCTTATTTGACATTAGTCATTACAAATATATGTGATGACTGCTTACATATTTCTATTGGTAAAAATGTCCATGGA